CATGACAAATTGTTTAATAGTGCAAGTTTAATAATTATACAATGAGACATAGGTAAAAATGGTTTGAAAGTCTAGAGAGAAAGCATTTCATAAGAAAATAATAAAAACACACATGACAGAAATAAGCAAATTTGAAGTTAACATTAAAATAGCGTTCCCTCTTTTCTTCATTCATTCCTAACCTTCCTAACAAGGTGCACCCTTATCATTTCTATTGCTTTCTCTTGATGCAACACAATTTCACACAAGCAGCTATCACTTTCTTTAATCTTGTACTTGGCCCAAAAATTTTCCCACCCCAGCACAAACACTCAGCCATTTTTCCATGTACGTATTTCTCCTCTCTTTTTGCTATGTTTTGTGGTCATTTCGGGCAACTTCTCATGATAAGATGCTATTTCATTGCTCTCTATATCCTGTCATAACAAAATACAAAGGGTGCACCAAACTTTAATTTCTACTCATCAACACAAATCAATAAAAGTAGACATGCAAAAATCATACCTTGCAGTTGCAACATATAAGGTTGACATGTTTTGTGAAGCAGAGGCAGAAATCCTTAATAACTTTTTTTGGTATATGCTGCAAAACAAAACAGCCATGCCATATTTAATAGTTGTAAGTAAATGGACTAAATACACAATTATAAACAATTATACCAATTCATTGGGTCTGTAATGATAGTATTTCGCAAAAAAATAGGGATTTCCAGGCTGAATATACATTTCAGCATCAATTTCATCTGTTTCAAGTTTTCGAACCATAGAGCTGCTCCCGATGCCACCTAAATCAAAATAAATCATCAGGTAAAAACATACAGAAATGATCAAATAAAATAGTTTACTTTTTCATTATATTATATATCTTTTTTTGAATTTCTTTTCAATATGCTTGAAATAGATAGATCAATCAATGTCTCTAATATTGCTCTTTAGATATTGTTTAACATCCAGCATATGGCTTAGTAGTAGTAAGCTTAGATGCTGAGTTTGTATAGTTAAGAGTGTGAATCTGCTGAAATTAAATGCTGAGTTTGTATAGTGAAGTGAAAATATGGATTAAGGGATAAAATGTGTATAATTGATATTGATATAACTGTAATCATAGTAATCACTAATTACATCCTAACCCCCCAAAAACTTTCTATCATTGTTATTTTTACTTTATATTTTTTTATGTTCAAAACATTTTTCAAACAAAGCTCTTGTTTGCTTAGAATAGTAATTATTACATATAAATTGTATTATCATCTTTCCTCGTGGACTCATAATTTTAGTCATTGTATTTTGATATTTGTTGACACATCTACTACACATACAATAAAAATTTTAAACAAGACTATCAAAAATTAAGTTCAAACTTAAAACATCTTTTTATTTAAAAGAGATTTCTTACAATTTTAATTTCATATATTTATCTATCGTTAAGTGAGGTACTTACTAACTTTGTGAATTGAATTCGCCATAGGGGTTACTTGTGAAGAGTGAAAGTTTGACCGTTTTTGTTTAGCTTAATTAAGACATGGATAAGACATGGATGAATTCAAACCGATTGTCGAAAGAGTACGAGAAAGGGGTATGGGAATTTGTTGAGTTTGCGGTTGCGCACTCCAAAGACCCGCTTCGAATGCCGTGTCCTTGCTTGGGTTGCTGTTATGCCGGGGGTAAGGTTGACGGGAATCAGTTGGGATCTCATTTACTACGGTTTGGAATTGATAGAAGTTATACATGTTGGACAATGCATGGTGAGAAAAGTACCGGGAATGCTGAGTCGAGTTGTAATAGGAAGTATGCTTCAAACGACGATTGCACAGACACATACGATTGTGATCGAGTCGAAGAGATTGCAGAAGCGCTTGAAGAAGATCTTGCGGATTGTCCCAAAATGTTTGAGAGGTTGGTAAGCGATGCAGAGAAACCGTTGTATGTTGGTTGTTCAAAATTCACAAGATTGTCTGCGGTGTTAAAGTTGTACAACTTAAAGGCGGACAATGGATGGTCGGATAAAAGTTTCACAGAGTTATTAGCCCTTATGAAAGATATGCTACCAGAGGATAATGTTCTTCCCAATCGAACGTATGAAGCCAAAAAGATGTTGTCTTCTATTGGAATGAGCTATGATAAGATACATGCATGTCCAAACGATTGCGTTTTGTTTCGAAACGAGTATGCAGCGTTGAATGAGTGTCCTAAATGTGGTGCCCCTCGATATAAGAAAAAGTTGTCTCCTGCTAAAGTCTTATGGTATTTTCCTATAATTCCGAGATTTAGACGCATGTATCGTAGTGAGACCGATTCAAGACACTTGACTTGGCATGCAGATGAAAGAATTATTGATGGAAAGTTGCGACATCCGGCAGACTCACCACAATGGAGTAAAGTTGATACTGAATATCCTGAATTTGGAAAAGAAGCAAGAAACCTTCGGTTGTCATTGTCTACTGATGGAATGAACCCGCATGGTATTCAAAGTATCTCGCATAGCACATGGCCTGTGATTCTTATGATTTATAACTTACCTCCGTGGCTATGTATGAAGCGTAAGTACATGATGTTATCTATGCTAATTTCTGGGCCTAAACAACCAGGGAATGACATAGACGTATACTTGGCACCCTTAATCGAAGATTTAAAGTTTTTGTGGGAGAGAGGTGTGGAGGTTTACGATGGGTATAGGAAAGAAAGTTTCAACTTGAGGGCGATGTTGTTTGGAACAATTAATGATTTTCCAGCATACGGAAATCTATCCGGGTACAGCAACAAGGGTCAAAAGGCGTGTCCTGTTTGTGAAGATGAAACCGATACGACACGATTGGCGCTTTGTCAGAAGAATGTCTTTCTCGGCCATCGTAGATTCTTAAATTCTAATCATCACTACCGTGGGTGGAGAAAAGCATTCAATGGAGAGGCCGAACATCGTACAGCCCCGCTTTTTTTGTCAGGTGATCAAATTTTTGAAAAGGTGAAAGATGTGAGCACTCAGTTTGGCAAGCCTTTTGCACATTCAATTGTCAAGGGTGGGTGGAAGAAGAAGTCAATTTTCTTTGAACTTCCATATTGGAAGTCGTTGTACGTAAGACATTTCCTGGATGTTATGCATATTGAAAAAAATGTATTTGACAGCGTTATAGGTACGCTACTCAATATACAAGGAAAGTCTAAGGATGGCGTTAATATAAGGAATGACATGGTAAACATGGGGATGAGAACTGAATTGGGGCCCGTGACGAAAGGAAGACGAACATATCTGCCACCTGCTGTTTACACTCTATCTAGAAAGGAGAAGAAAACATTGTGTAAGTTCCTCAGTGAAGTAAAAGTTCCAGAAGGCTACTCTTCAGATATTAGAAGACTTGTGTCCATGAAAGACCTCAAGTTAAAGAGTTTGAAGACGCATGATTGCCATGTTATAATGGAACATTTTTTACCAATAGGTATACGTTCTATTCTGCCAGAAAAAGTAAGAAGCGCAATAACTAAGCTGTGTTTCTTCTTCAGGTCTATTTGCAGTAAGGTGGTCGATCCCGCGATCTTACCAACATTGCAAAATGAGATAGTTGTTACTTTATGTGATCTTGAAATGTATTTTCCTCCCTCGTTTTTTGACATAATGGTTCATCTAGTCGTTCATCTTGTGAAAGAGACACAACTGTGCGGACCAGCTTATATGAGATGGATGTACCCTGCTGAACGTTATATGAAAATATTAAAAGGGTACGTGAAAAACAGAAGTCGACCAGAGGGTTGTATTGCCGAGCGATACGTTGCTGAAGAAGCGGTTGAGTTTTGTACTGAATATCTGTCAAATGTTCAATCAATTGGACTCCCCAAATCTCATATTGTCGAAAAAAAAGAAGGAAAAAGGCTAATTGGAAATAAAGTTGTGACAGTATCAATGGTCGAACGGGATCAAGTGCACTTGTATGTTCTGCACAATGAGATTGAGGTTGAGCCGTTTGTTGAAATGCACAAAGTTGTTCTCCGAGATTTAAATCCAAATAGAAATGAGAACTGGATAGTACGAGAGCACAATCAAAGTTTCATACCGTGGTTTAGAGATCATATTTATTCAAAGTATCGTTCAGATCCTGCTTCAGTAACAGAAAGGTTGAGATGTTTAGCCTATGGTCCATCTGTAATTGTGCTTTCTTATAGCGCATACGCAATTAATGGATACACATTTTATACCAAAGAACAGGATGATAAAAGTACTATGCAAAATAGTGGTGTTACCTTGGTAGCTGAAGCTATGCACATATCAAGTGCGAATGACTTAAATCCGAAATTTGCAAATTTGTCATATTTTGGGGTTATCGAGCGCATTTTGGTGTTTGATTACGCGAAGTTTCAGATTCCTGTATTTGGTTGCAAGTGGGTTGAAAATAATAGTGGCGTACGAATGGATAAGTCAGGATTTTTGCAAGTGGATCTCAATAGGGTAGGGTACAAAGATGAGCCTTTCATTCTAGCCTCTCAAGCTAAACAAGTGTTCTATGTCAATGATCCGACAAGTACGAAATGGTCTATAGTGCTTTTATATAACAAAATAGTTGATGAAAAAATTGAAGATCAAGGTGATATTGGTGTTGGCATTGAATCTTGTACAAGAAACGATCAAAATGAGAATGAATCTTGTATTAGAAATGATCATAATGAGGGTATTTGGATCAATCCAACCGTCCGCATTGTTAAGAGACGCGTAGTACACAATCCTACCAAGAAAAGAAAGAGACGTTAGTGATAAAGTAATGGTCTCGATAACCTTCACTCGCTTATGTTTAGTAATGGTCTCATTTTTATATTTTTTAATTATTATATTTAGTAATCTGGCATCGAATATGTGAAAATCTTACAATTTGTACTTTAAACAATTAATAATGGATTGAATATCTTCACGTTGAACAATTAATAATGGATTGATTTTTTTTCTTCTTATAATAACTTCTATGTTGTAATTTTTTGAAATGTTTCTCATATAAAGTTAGTGTTAATAGTGTACTAATGTGCTTTAGTTTGTTTGATACAGGTTCAATGGCTCCAGATAGAGATGCTCCACCTGAAAACCCACCTGAAAACTCACAAGAAAACTCACAAGGAAGAGTTGCTTCGGATACAAATGCTCCACCTGATACTGAAGCAAAAGAGGTTGCACGAGGCATCACTATTATGAAGGGAATCATTCGACATAGAGACCAAGGATTAGTATACCGATTGGAATGGAATTCTGATAAACAACCAATTGGTCCTAATTCTGCAAAGTTGACAAGTTATATTGGTACACTTGTCCGTATGCATATTCCGGTCTCCGTAGCTACCTGGAAATCGAAAACGAAAAATTTAGAATTGGAGGAGAAAAAACAAGCGATTTGGGAAGAGCTTCAGGTATATATCATATATGGTTAATTGTTGTTATTATCTTGACGATAAATTGTTTAAATTACTTATACTAACACACTATGCGTACGTTTTTTTGCAGAGGACTTTTGAGATACCAGATGAACGTAAAAGCTACATACTTAGTTTGGCCGACAAAAGATATAGAGGGTGGAAAAGTTTTTTGACAAACACCTATCTTAAGGATAAAGATGGAAAATTTCTTGAAGAGGCACCGGGACGGCCAACAAAGTATGCGACCTTCATTGATGAAGCAGATTGGGCTGAGTTTGTAAAGCAAAGAGATGAAGCTTTTCAGAAAAAGAGTGCCACGAATAGTGAGAGAGCATCCAAACCCGCGTATCCATACAAAAAAGGGCGTTTGGGATATGCACGCTTAGAGGATAAAATTGTAAGTAAATAGAAATGCGTTTTAATTAATTGTCTACATGTGCATGTTTTAATTGACGATTTTATCGTTTGTGTCAATGCATAGTTAGAGGAGACTAAAAGTGAGGAAGCTTCACTTCCTGTACATGTGTTGTGGAAGGAAGCTCGTGTGGGCAAGAATCAAGCTGTCGATCCCGATGTTCAGAGAGTTTATACTAAATGTGTAAGTATAATACTGTGTCTTTAATTAAATCAAATGTTTTTTAATATATAAATGATTTTTTATCTCCACTAATAATTATTTAAATGTAAATGAATTACAGGAGACCTTGTCGCAATCGGCATCCACCGGTGAGGAGAGCGTACTTAGTAGAGTACTAGATGCTCCCGAGTATCCCGGTCGGGTGAGGGGTAAGGGTCATGGTGTGACTCCAACCTCTTTTTATAAGAGTTCTAGGAGAAGATCAAATCTTACCAATGAAGAAGTGTTGCAAAAGTTGCAGGAATTGCAAGCACAGGTCTCTGAATTGCAAAGAGATAAAGATATGTATATGAGAGAAAATTGCAACACTTCATCGGTGAGAGAAACTAGTGATAAGGCTAGTATCAACTATCAAAAGAAATTTCCCGAGGTAATTATAAGTTTTTTTCCTTACAAACTGTTCTATTTTATTAATGATAATGACTTTATATTTTCTATTTGTTTAGGGCATTTCATCTTGCCAACTATACTTATCGTCACCGAATTATCGACTAGTTGGCAAGGGAAAAGTGCACAACACTTCGGGAGATTTACTTCACCACAGACCGCTCCCGGATGGACACCTGAAAGTATCGGTGGATGTTGTATTAGATCGTGATGCGATTCTACCGGTACCTGACATGGTCTCAGAGACGACATTGCTGCGAGATGCAATAGGATCATTTGTTGCATGGCCCTCGGAGCTCATTACCATTAGTGATGAGGTATACTGAAAACGATTATGAATCATTTAGTTTTCGAATGTCAATTCTAAACCGTTTATTAATTATTTTTTACATTTTAATTTTAGACTGCTCCTATAAAACCCGCAATTAAGGGTAAAGGGATTTTACAGGAGGAGGAGTCTGTTGCATCACTAAAAGAGGTACATTTAAAGTGTTAATATATAGTCTGAATCTAAATCTGCATGATTTTATGTTTTACCTAACTTATATGATTTTTAGGCATCCGCTCGGGAGTCACAACAAGTGACGCAGCAGGTTCGTAGCTTACCACCCACTGGTCCTCCGAAGCAAGCGGCAAAAAAAGGCGGTGCTTTTGTGCCTCGATACCGTTCGACACTCGCAACAATGGTTGATATGTCCGATTTGAAGGATGGTGGTTTACGTGAAATCAACATGGATGAAAGTGTCTTCGGTATTGAATTCCCGTCACATATTACATTTGATGACTTGGAAGAGATTTTTAGGCATGATCAACTAGGCGTCAGTAATATGCACTCATACATCCGGTAATATTCACTCATCCGATATATTATTTAATTAGTCCCACAATATAATTTATTTACACATTTCAATGAAAATAATCTAATGTTTATTATGTTTTTATTTAAGGTTGTTGTATGACAGAGTGTTGCGCGGGACTGCATTGTCTAACAGATTCCGTTTCGTGTCTTCCGCCCATTGCAGCGGAATGACAATTGCTTCGGAACCGGAATTAGTTAGACAGCGCTTAGTAGATAGATTCATGTCCACCGGCAATACAGAAAGTCTGCATCTTTGGGCGTATAATACCCGACCAGTAGGGTTAGTTTCTCATTCTTGGTTCATCTAATCTCTGTTTCTTTTGTGTATAGCAAAATTTTCATATAACCTATTGTTTTAATTTATAGAGCACACTGGTTGCTGCTTGCTATCAACCCGATAAGAGAAGTCGTGTATTATCTGAATTCGGTAAATGGTGAATGGACCAATTATCCGGCTATGAAGGAAATCGTTGATTTGTAAGTGGGATCGTTCTAAATATATATTCGTGTATATTTATATATTTTCTTATTTGTGGGATTGATCTAAACATATGCTTTTATATATTTAATAATTAGATCAATACAAGTGTTCCGTAGTCAACGGGACGCACAGGTATCCCGGACTAAATCAAACAACATCACTTGGATCCAAGTGCAGGTACATTACTTTTCACAATTTTGCTTATAATATTTATGCTACTTGGTAAAACAAGACAACTATAGAATCTTATTTGTTTTATTATGTAGTGTCCGCAACAGCGAAACAGTCATGATTGCGGATACTTTGTTTTGAGGTTCATGAAAGAAATCCTTCAGGCGAATCAATTAGAGATTCCGCTCACGGTATGAATTTATAACTTAAGATAATTTCATATAATTTATTACATTTAACTAAATATATCATTTATATTATGTTTTTGTTTTGTAGTACCTTGACGAATTCCGTGCTGCTGGGTACCCGAAGCTTAAGTTGGAAGAAATTAAAGAAGATTTGTGTCAATATTATATTAAGCAATTTTTCATGTAGGATTTGTGTCGATTTGAACTATAATATTATTGATGTAATGATGTATATATATAATTTTGGATATTATAATGGTATTATATTAGTATATATATTGTCTTACTGATGGCTGAAATAATAGCGTCGAAAATATATTACAGGTCAAAAATATATTACAGGTCGAAAATATTACAGGTCGAAAACATTACAGGTCGACTGGGAGGATTAAATTATAGGCTGCACATAAAAATACCTCATTTAGAAACGACAACGCTTTTAAAAAGCGCTCTTAAAGGTCCACCTACTAAAGCGCTTCTTAGTAAAAGCGCTGCCAAAGACCAGTAAAAAAGCATAAAAAATTAAAAAAAAACGCAGCATACAAAAGCGCTTTTGGAAAAGCGCTCTTATAGGGGGGCCTATCAGAGCGCTTTTTCCAGAAAAAGCGCTCTCATAGGGGGGCCTACCAGAGCGCTTTTCCAAAAGCGCTTTTGTATGCTGCGTTTTTTTTTAATTTTTTATGCTTTTTTACTGGTCTTTGGCAGCGCTTTCTGGGAAAAGCGCTCTTAAAGGGGGGTCTACCAGAGCGCTTTTTCCAGGAAAGCGCTCTTATAGGGGGTCCTACCAGAGCGCTTTTTCCAGGAAAGCGCTCTTAAAGGGGGGGTCTACCAGAGCGCTTTTAGAAGCGCTTTTGTTACCTACGCCAGCGCCAGCTATTAAAGCGCTTTTAAGCGCTTTTAAAGGCCAAAATAAGCGCTTTAAAAGCCCTTTTCCGTAGTAGTGATACCATCCCTTCCTGATTCTTTTTCACAAATCCAGGAGGTTGTGACACATAAACTTCTTCCTGTAATGGACCGTTCAGAAATGCAGACTTCACATCCAGATGTATCAAAGGCCAATTTCTGTTTGCAGCTAAAGCAATCACCAGTCTGATTGTTTCGTGTCTAGCTACAGGTGCAAACACCTCAAAATAATCTAGTCCAGGTTTCTGAAGAAAACCTCTGGCCACTAGTCTCGCTTTATGTTTGCCAATTGATCCATCTGGCTTTAGCTTCTGCTTGAAAACCCATCTGACGCTGATGGCTTTCTTGCCTTTTGGAAGTTCTGTCAGCTTCCAAGTCTTGTTTCTTTCAATTGCCTCAAGTTCTTCTTTCATGGCATTCAGCCATACTTTCTTCTTGAGTGCTTCTTCAATACCACTAGTTCAGAATCTACTAGCATGGCACACTGAACGATTTCACCTTCAGAATCTACTTCAGTATCATGCAACATGCTAAAATCTGCAAACTTACTTGGTATTCGTCTGATTCTCTGTGGCCTTTGGTCTTGTTCTGAAGGTTCTCCAGAATTCGGAACAATACTGGCTTCTGAACCTTGTCCAGAACTACTTCCTTCAGAATTACCACCTTCAGAGTTACTTCTGGAAATTTGTTCTCCAGACGCTATGTCTTCAGAGTTTTCTCTCCCAGAAGTAAAATCACCACCAGATTCTGGATCATCATCAGAATCTGGATCAGAATCAGATCCACTATCAGAATCTCCCTGAGATTCTGACTCATCTTCAGAGTCTTCTTCTTCTGACTCTGACTCGTCTGCAGAAACTAACCCTGGTGTTAGCACTACACCAGAATCTGATTGAAGCTTGTTCCAATCCCATGTTTCCGACTCTTTCACAACAGCGTCTCTGCTGATTTCAACTTTGTTGGTTTCTGGACAATAAAGCTTGTAGGCACCTGTACTGTGGTACCCCACCAGTAACATTGTTATGCTTCTATCATCCAGTTTTCGTCTTCTAGCCTCTGGAATGTGTTTGTAGCACACAGAACCAAATACTTTCAGATGGCTAACACTCTGCTTGTCTCCAGTCCATTTTTCTAAAGGAATAGTTTCCTTCAGCTTCTTTGTTGGACACCTGTTCAGAACATATGCTGATGTGGCAACAGCTTCTCCCCATAACATGTGAGGTAACTTCTTCTCTTTCAGCATACTTCTGGTCATATCAAGCAAAGTTCTGTTTCTTCTTTCAGCGAGACCGTTGTGCTGAGGAGTATATGGAGCAGTAACCTCATGTTCTATTCCATTCTCCTCACAGAACTTCTGGAACTCTGTAGAGTTATACTCACCTCCACCATCTGTTCTCAGAATCTTCAGCTTCTGACCACTCTGCTTCTCAGCCTTCACCTTGAACTTCTGGAATTCTGTAAACACTTCATGCTTGAACTTGATGAGTTTTACCCAAGTCATTCTTGTGAACTCATCCACAAAAGACACGAAATATTTGTTTCCTCCAAGTGAAGCTACTGGAAATGGTCCACACACATCAGAATGTACTACACCCAGAGCATGCTTTGCTCTGGGGGCTACTTCTGACGCAAATGGCAATCTTGGTTGCTTTCCTTTCATGCATATCTCACATGACTTCTGAGGCTTCACAATCTTCGAAATGCCATGTACGAGCTTCTTAGAACTTAGATGCCCTAAGCTTCTATAGTTCAAGTGCCCCAACCTCTTGTGCCACAACTTACTGTCTGCTTCAGCGCCTTCTGCACTGAGACACTCCGCTTCAGAGGTTTCTACATTCACTTTGAATGTTCTGTTGCTTCCCTGCTCAGACTTCATAATCATTTTCTGATTAGAATCGTACAACGTCAAGAGGTTGTCCTTCATAACCACTGAAAAACCTTTCTCAACAAGCTGACCCACACTCATCAGATTGCTTTTAATTCCAGGAACGTACCAGACATCTTTGATCAGAATGTTTCTTCCATTCTTCACTCTGACTCTGACATTTCCCATACCTTCTGCATTAAGGTACTTATCATCAGCACATCTGATCTTTGTTCTCCTTCTGGAGTCAAAGTCTGTCAGCCATTGTTTGTTCCCAGTCAAGTGATTTGAACAGCCAGTGTCCATATACCACCAATCTCCTGAATAGTTTCCATCAGAATCAGAAGCCATCAGTAGCACAGGTTCATCATCAGAATCTTCTCTGGCTATATTTGCTTCTTCTGATTTTCTTCCTTTGTTTCTACAGTCTCTGGCAAAATGCCCAAACTGTTTACAGCAGTAACATTGAACCTTCTTCTTGTCATACCTTTCCTTTCCCTTCTGATATTTCTTTTCATCAGAAGTTGAGGTTTCTGACTTCTGGAATTTATCACCATGTCTATTCTGCTTCTGGTCCTTCTTGACAAAAGAAGCTTTCAGAGCTTGCTCCACTTCCCTCTCAGAAGTTCTTTCAGTCAGACGCAACTCTTGTGCTTCTAGACTGCTTTGCAACTCTTCTATTCTCATGGTTTCCAGATCTTTAGAGTGTTCAATAGAAACAACAATATAATCAAACTGAGGCGTAAGTGACCTCAGAATCTTTTCTATGATTACCTGTTCAGAAAGTGTTTCTCCACAAGCCTTCATTTCATTAGTGATCAGAATCAATCTGGAAATGTATTCAGAAACTTTCTCACTGTTCTTCATGCTGAGATTTTCATATTGTTTTCGCAGGGACTGAAGCTTTACCTTCTTTACTGATACGTCACCACCATAACATCTGGTCAGAATATCCCATGCCCCTTTCGACGTCGTCGAATCAACAATCTTCTCAAACACATTTTCATCCACACACTGATGGATGAAGAACAGTGCTTTCTGATCCCTCTTCCTTGTAGCTTTTTCTTCTGATTTCTGTTCTACAGTAGCATCAGCTGCAGCTGGAACATAACCTTCAGAAACAAGGTCCAGAACATCCTGAGCACCAAACAGCACACGCATTTGAATCTTCCATCTGTTCCAGTTTTTGCCATCAAAAACTGGAAGTTTAGTGTTCAAACTACTGCCTCCATTCATCTTAAACCTTTGCACAGAAAAACTCAGATCTCAGATTTCTCACTCAGTGTTTCCCAAACCCACAGAATCAGTGTGATTCTGTTTCAGATTTTTGTTCAAGAATCAAAAATCAAACACACAGCTCACTATCACTCGTGTTTCCCAGAGTTTCAGAATCAAACCAAGAGCTCTAGATACCAATTTGTTAGTGCAAAGGTGATGAATTTGAGGAAGAAGATGAAAGGGAATAAATGCAATAAAGGCTGACAGCAAATGATTGAAGGAATTGATTAATATAAATGTAATCCTAGTACACCTATTTATACACAAATAAAGATGCCACATAGGCCCTAATTAAAACTTATCTACAAATAACAAAATACTAAATTACCCTCTAATATCGTCCTCGTATGTGCATTTTGATTTTGTTGATTTTAGTTAAAATTGTGTTTAACATAAACTGATTTTTTTGAATATGTTCTTGCTAAAGTGATTTGATTGAAAAGTCACAATTGAAGATTCAAAACTTCTAATGTTTATGGATATACTATGTTTGTTTGTTCGTTCATTCATTCATTCATCAACTGATATGGTATTCTTCTTGATTATAATTAGGGTTCAATTGTGCTTGCTGGTATTTCAAGGACAACATGGAGACCTGGTGTAATGTATTACATCACCTTTGAAGCACAAGATCCTTTCAATAGCAATGCTACAACGTTCCAGGCAGAAGTACAAAAAAAGTTGAAGGGACCACACAAGGTCTACTCATGCGTCATTAAAACCTAACAAACACCATGATAATAATGTTACATTCATATAATTCCTTTAAAATCATATGTGATTATGACATTATAAAAAATTGGCTTTCAAACTAGCCTAAATACAAAGAGACTATAGTAGACTATATTGATAGAACCATCATTTGGATCAGTTCTATTATTGTTTATATCCTTTTCCTCAACACTCTTCCTTGTCGCGCCATTTGGAAATTGCATAGTGTTTTTTGCTACTGACTGTATAGAATGCTGACCAATTTTCTTTAATATAGAACGCTGATTAATTTGAAGTTGCATAATTAGCCTTTTATTTATGCTTCATTGTATGGAATGCTGACCCTTTTTCTTTAAAATAGACCGAACTGAAGTCGGGCATTAACACATTTCTATTTCCATTTTACTTTGTTAAAGAATCATCTTTCTAATATTTATCGTCCACACTTTTGGTCACTATCGTCTATTTCTTGTAATATGATTTAGTACATTTAATACATGAGGTAATTGTGTCTTAAACAACCCTTTGTTTTAATCTTTTACATATTGGATCTGGAATCAGTATGAACTGATTCTGATTTTGTTGCGTTGCTTTAAGTAGTTTCAGATATTTTACTTTAATCTGAGTGCATTTATCATATGATCTGCGTTTTTTCATATGTGAATCTTTTTGTTTCTTTATGCTCCATTTAGATAAATTTTTGTATTAATTGTTGCATTTTAGCAGATGAAGATGTAGCAGATGAAGATGGTAAGGAAGTATCTTTCTCTTTGGTCACTACGTGGTTAGGACCTTGAATGTCCTATTTCTTCCCAGTTTAGACCGCATAATCAGCTTCTGATTACAGTCATATAACTTCAAGAGATTGTATTTCATGGTTACTAAAAACCTTTTTCAAGCAGGTGACTGTTTCCAGTGATTTCTGGTAAACAACCGCTAGTCTTCCAAACTATCGAATAATCTTTGTTAACGCTATTCAATCTCTCTGGTAACTCACAGGATCGACTAGATTGATCCTAGGACTCCTTGGATATTAAGGTTACTCTCACAATCGAACAATTATTCATGGTTACTATTGTACAAGTGTTTGGTTTATTTCGATCCCTCTCTCTAAGAGTTTAAGAATGTGGTCAAAATGTATATGAAACTAAGTTATACGAATAAATGCTAATTGTAATGCTGATTGAAGAGACATATAAAACTGTATGAAAAGTGAAGTAAATGGTTTCGAGTTATAAAACATTTAACATAAAAGGTTTCTGGAATGTAGAAGTTAAAAATGTGAAGAAAGCGTTTAATGCAAGAAATCTATAAATGATTTAAGTAAAAGTATGCGCTTGAAAAACAATACTTGAAAGTAAAGGTATTGAAAGTGTAACAGTTCTCTGAAATATAAAGTGTTCGAAGTATAAAGAAAGCAGTAAAACGTAAAACTGTGAGGAAAAGACTTTGAAATGAAAAGACAGTAAATAAAGAAACTTGCAAATGTTATTCGACAAAAAGAAAAGAAGAAAGTACTGGAAATGGTAAAAAGGCTTTCATTAAGTTAGAAATACATGGTGCTATCATACATACATTTCTCTTGCATTCGTTTCCCTTGCCATGTGGTAGTTTGAATGTTATTGAGTATTTTGTATAACAGATATGACACACTGAAATCCTAATACTAAGACTTCTATTTATACTAATTCGACCCTAACGGTCTCGCTATAGGATCATGCCACGTTTCGAACATGCAAGACAATGCTTCTTTCATCTTTCCACGTGTCCCCAAATGCTCCAACACATAACTTTCAAACTTTGAAAGTCCCGCTTCCATTTGAATTTTAAATGCTTTAGTGTTCTTCCGTTTCGAATGCTCTTCCCAAACCTAGCCTCGCTGTTGTTTCGAGACCCCTTTGGATATGTTCCCATAATCACCGTTCGAAGCTTCAAGCTTTGACACACTCATTCGAAACACTGCTTCTGCAACTTCGAAATATGGCATTTAATTCCATTTCGATCAGAACTTTTAACTCTTTTGAATTCCAAATAACATTATCAAAATCTTCAGCCAACAAATTGCCCCTTTAAAATATGTATTTCGATCTCTTTGAGAAATATCTATTTTAAACATTTATACAAGATTTTGATAGGATTTTCGAATCATCATAACATTTAATGCCTTTGACTCCAGTCACATCAATCATAGCACCTTTTGGGTTCCTTAACCGCCCAGAGTCACTTCACAGCGTGGTGCAGTTATAAGTAATGATTGTTTTTAAATCACGCCTATTACCTATATCAACTTCTCGCCACCTCTTCATCACACCAACCCATGATCTCCACGTATCACACTTTTACTCGGTGGATGCTTAATCTTCTCATTATAAAACGTCAATTTACTCTTCCTTTTTCTTTTTTACACTCTAAATCTTTCATACTCTGAATTTTCACTCTTCTTCTCTCATAAAACAATCTAAGCTCTCAAACAACAAAAATGTCTTCTTCCACCTCATCCCAACTCAAGAAAGTCTCAAAGAAGAAAGGAAAAACTACAGGAGCAACCATGGAGAGTAAAATCGTCACTATTCAAGGCCAATCTGCTCTTGCTCCTCAAATGATTTCCAAAGAAAAAGAAATGCTGTACGCATCACAGGTACTCATCCCTACCCATGTTGCTGGTAAGAGGTTAGCCTTAAATGGCCCTCTTACAGTTTTTGAAATACTAAAGGACACCAGGACAATTTTTCCCGTATGTTATAGCTTCAAACCTTTATTCAACAAAATGGATGCCCCTAGGGCAGTAGAATCTCTTAGTTCGAATACCGCAGAAACCCCAATTGTTCCTCCCAAGGACCCATTTGTTTTGGATTATGTAAAAAGCAATTTTAAGCCATTTCGATCTTGCCCTGCTTCTGATATTGCCTATCAAAACTGGTTCACGAAAGTAGAAGCCAAGAAATCCCAGCAATGGGAAGAATTAGGCATTTATAACCTCATTAAGCTATCGAAACCTGGATTCACCTATAGCCATCCTCTGCTGTTTGTGTCCCTTTATTTCTGGGATAGTACCTACAACACTTTCCATCTCCCAGGTGGAATGATTACCCCAACCTTCTTCGATATAACGGCCATTACTGGGCTGTCGCCAGTGGGAGAAACTTATGTTCCTGACAATGAAGAGCACTCAAGCATAATTGACTTCGAAGTCAAGTTAGCCAGCTTTTCCAAATTCATCAGCCATTATCATGCTGAAGGGGATAATGTGTCTGACATAGAGCACATTGCATTCTTGACCCTGTGGCTGTCTAGGTACGTTTTCTGCAGTAGATCCCTGCAGGTAGCTAGTAGGTTCATTCCTTTAGCTAGGGATTTACACGAAAATCGCAAAGTGTGCCTAAGTGAATTACTCTTAGTTGACCTCTATGAGAGCTTGAGGTCAGCTGTTTCGAGTCTCAAATCCCACACCTCTAAAAACATTCTATTAGCTGGCCCATTTTGGTTACTCCAATTATGGCTAAACGCCATGTTCGAACCTTCTTTACCAACCGCCAACACCATAGATGAGCAAGATTCAGAAATAAGTGATAGGATAGTCGAAGGCACTAGGCTTCAAAGACTAACTCCTAATGATGACAAGGATGACTTCAAGGTTCAATTCTCGAAGTACATCATGATACTCTCAAAAAGGCATAAGTTCGAAGAGAGCATGGCGCCTTTCGCTTCGAGGGCTCATGGACCTTCTTGGTTCACCATGGCTCTCTCGGAAGCCATCAAGAGCAAGGAGATCCAAGATGTATGGAGAGCTTTCTTGCTTCCCAGACTCATCTCTTCGAGGATAACCCCTGCTAAGAACCAAATTCTTCTCTTTGCCTACCAACCAAACTTCGTTTCGAGGCAGTTTGGCTTATGCCAACTGATTCCTGAACCTTTGTTCCAAACTGAGAGCGCCATCACATCTGGTCGAACTTTCAAGGCAAGGGAAGCCAAGATCCAGCAAGAACAATATCAAGGCTTTGCCCAATTCGAACTGATAGCCTTCGAACCTACCCATCTCGCGGCTAAAGGATTTCTGGAGTGGTGGATTAAGTTTTATCAAACTTGCATGTTCGATACACTTACAATTCGACAGAAACTAATTGATGCCTTCGATGTGCAGGTACCAGCAAAGAAAGGTATGTTTACTCATGCCAAAGAGATAAAAGCTTTTCAAAATTATTTTGAAACTACTTACGACCCCGCGCGCTTGGACTCCACTGTGCATCAAGCAGCTGAGACCTTGAAGGAAAAATTTAAACAAAAAGTTTCTAAGCTAAAACTTCCTTCAGGGCTGTCACCTGAGGATAGGTATAGGTTGGCATTCGAAATGCATCCACCTAAATTTCCCAGATTACCTACCTCAGAACTGGCTCTGGCTTGGTTTCCCCCATATCCATGGTGGTTTACTTGCAAAGAGATGTTCAAATATCTTCAAAGGAAACCAAAGCCATCTGAGACTGTGACATGGGCTCGATACTGGCTTCATGATTTCCCAGGACACCTTCGATATGACCTTTCTGCCATGTCAATTAAATCTGATCAAGGCACAGGTGCGAATGCTTGGGAACAATCCCAAATGTCTTTTATTTTCCATATCTTTAACCTTTGCTTTAATTGTTTTGGTTTTCAGCTATCAGGATAAAGACCGCTGCCTCGAAATCGAAGGAAGGGAGTGCCTCTCAAGCCTCCATCGAAACTACCGAAAAAGCTAATCCACCCGAAACAACTACTACTGCTGCAACTACAACAACAACAATAACGCCAACAACAACAAGTGCCCCAATTCCAACGGTAATCACTTAGTTTTTGATGCTTCGAATTCACTCAAGCTCTTTATATCTAACTCTGTTAAAATTCGTTCAGACCAACAAGCTTCCTCCCACTACTCCCAAGAAGCGGAAACCAAGCACTACTGGGGAAGATCCCACTGCTGGAGGAAACTCAAATACTGCTTCGAAGAAGAAGCTAAAGAAAGCTACACCTAAAAGCACTGT